CCCCCCCCCCCCCCTTATAAATTTGGACCGCTTCTCGATTTATCTGTGTCATCCTTGCGCAGGAATCGTGCTAATCTTCTCTGTATCCTTCCAATTTTAATGGATTTCCTGAAGGACTCAGAACAAGAACATTCGAAAACAGATGAGCTAGATCCCGTGGGAGAGGCAAGTAAACACAGCGCAACTGATGCTCCGAGAAGACGAGTCACAAAATGTCATAACCTGCCGCAAGTTAGGATCAGACAAAATTGCAATGAAGAGGGAGTCTGTTGTCTTGCTCCCTCTGGGCTGATGGTAAACCGATTCGGGCTCTCAAGCTAGATCCACATATGTGGTCATTGAGAGGCTCCCACGCCTATTTCTCAAGAGGCCTGGCTTACAGATTATACATCTGCAGTAGGATACAGTCTCACGCAACCAAACAGGACATCACAAATGGCGGCAGTTAGGAGATGGTCGCAAGTCACCAATTTGCAGACGAAGATATCCTATGGTCTCTGGGACGCTGCTGGGAGCAACTCCAATCAGCCCCCATGCCAAGGGCTGCAGCCCTGCTGTGGCTGCTTTGTATGTTAGCCACACCGTCCGCAGTGTGGCTGTCAGAAGGAGGAATGAAGATTTCAATGCATTGTTGCAGATTACCTCCTTCTGACAGCCACACTGTGGATGGGAGGAGTAGGTTTTATCCTATGGGTGGTGATCAAACCAGTGCTGGGAGAGGTGGTACTTTTGTCAGGTAGTTGGCGAGTCAAAAACCTCCCAGCACTCTCTATTTTTTTGTCGAGTTTTGTTAATAACCCTAACTCTTACTATTAGCTTGTGTTATTATTACTATTATTTTATTTTCCAAAGCAAAATAACCATTTTCTTCCATAATAGACAATTAAATGTGGTCGGGGTCCCCACAGTGTACGTGCCTGTAGAGTGTATTGGGAGCGTTAACCAGATTCGCTCCTAGCATTGCTGATTTTCTGGGCAAAGGACCGCAGAGAAGGGATAGCTTCAGAGGGGGAGGGGGGGGGGGGGGGGGGGGGGGCACACTGGCTGATGTCTCGCTTGCACGGAGGATTAAGAGTAAGAGAAGATACTAGCCGTCTATCGCTTCAATGTTTGGACAGGACAGTAGAATCTATTACCTCCTTGCTACCAGTGGGACCTCACCCGCGGTCATATTAGGAGATTCAAAATATGGAAGTAGAAGGTGCTGTGGTGTAAGTCATTACCCTCGACCTGTCACCTCAGGTCCGCGCCTGAATGTGTGGCCACTTCCCAGGCTTCTCCTTAAACTATCAGTGCCCTCGGTGAATCTTTCGTGTGCAAACACTGCAAAGTGACACATTTTTTCCTGCATATGTTATAACATTTTTGCACATGGTTTGAGCATCATGTTTGCTTGCTGCCTCACAACCGACTTCTACTTTCACGCACTGTCGCATGTTTGACTTTTTTTTTTTGATTGCTATCTCGCTCTTGACTCGTGTTTTGCTTGCTCTCTGCCTTGTGCTGTGGTGTGCTCTGCAGGGCGTGACAAAGCAAAAGCCCACCATCAGACGGATGGACGGCATATGTACCTGAAGTTTGACTTGAAGGTGAGAAATTTGTCTCGATTTTCTGAGTCCGAGGAGAGGATTCAGTGCATCAAATCTTATGCAGGGTTGTGAGTACCTGCTGTGAGTATGATATTTATCCATTCATATCGGAAATGCTGCTGGCACTACTGTAACTGTTAGTAAACAGATCACGAGTTCAAAGCCTTATGGATTGAAAATGAACACAATAATGTTAGGGGCTACTCCCTCTCCTTTCTTGGAAGAAAAGAAATGGTGCTAACTGGTGAATGTTTGGAGGTTGGCAACACTTCCCTGTTGCTGAATGCTTGCATTCCATTCCATTGTTATGTTATGTGCCTGATTGAAGAGGAATCCAGCATGGCATGCACACATTTCCATACACATGCGCAATGACAAGTAGACTTGGAGAGAGCAATCCACACACACAAATACCAGATGATGAGAATACAGAGCGGAAGCTCACAGAACCAAATATAGAATTGAATTGAATGAATTCTATGAATACAGTCTCTCTCCAGCTCAATCAGCAGCACAAAATACCCAGGGTCCCAACCATGCTATCAACAACCAATTATTTACAAAGTTTCATAGAGTCTAATGGAGACTTCTTCTTCCTCACTCCTCCTTTAGCTCTCAGCTATGGCGCTGCTTTTTTCAGCGCCCAACCTCACCACCAGCCCGTCACACCCTGGAACGCCTTGCAATCCAACCGCCCTGTCTGTATCCACTCAACCCCTGATTACTAAACAGGGTTGCCTCATCTGCAGGAACGCTAGCTCCCAAGGATGGAGAAGAAGACCAACTCGGTGAAGATGGAGACCACTGCCACTTCGAAGAAGAACCGAAAGCAAAACTTCGTTGGCAGTTCTGCCAACCCCAATGAAAGGCATTCCTGAAACGGTTTTCACCTTGCAGTAGCAGATGTAGATCGCAGGCTCGATCCCTAGCCCTGTTCTCATTCGTGTACAGTATCAAGTCGACCCTGTGTTTGAGCCTGCGACCTGTGTCTTGGTAGTTGACTGCTGTCTGTCGTGGGTCTATGTAATTGTTGGGTTTCGATCCGTAGGTCTGTTGAGTAGGGGTCGCAGTTGTGTAGGGGTCGTAGCTGTAGCAATTCTGAAAGGTCAAAGTGGTAGCTGCTACAGTTTCAAAAGGCCTTTCGAGTGTTGCTCACGTTAGACCAGAGGCAAGTGGGCAAGTGGGTAGTCCAACTTTGCTTAGTCAGCGGTACCAAGTCCCAGTCTCACTTTGTCAATTCAGCAAGTACTATGTGGGACTGTGTGCACCCTGGGCCTGGTGGAAAGGAGCAGACCAGTGACCAACAGAAGTATAAATCAAGAGGCAGCGTCCAGTTATTCATTCATTCTGCGTGGGCCATGCGGAAGCGCTGCCCGAGCGTCTTGTGCGAGGTGGTCTGCAGATGCCCGAAGTCGAATTGGGCTGCGAGGGAGACATACACGGCGTCTTCCTGCAGCGGCGCAGCTATGGCGGACCCTTCTTCCTCGATGGTGCGGCTACTGCTATGGCGCCCAACTGGTGCTTCTCCTCTTTGCGCTATGGCGCACTGCTGATGTGGCGCCTCTCTTCCTCCTCTCGGTAATGGCGGGTGGAACAGCGGGAACCTGTTCCTATACCAATGCAATCTGACTCGTCTTCTTTCTTGCTTAGCATGCATGAGACATATAGCAATCACACTGGCGACAAGCGCCCACACCAAACTCAGAGAAATCGTGGCCGAGAATACAATTCGAATTCAATTTGCTTCAAAATGGCTATGGCGACTGTGCACCCCTTACAGTTCCCTTCCCCTTTGTTCCCTCGGCAACAGTTCCCATGCACGCTACCTTGGATCTTCCTTGGATGTCCCACACACGGTCACAACTCACCGCACACTCGTACACAACCACGCTGTAACCTCTCCCTAACCTAGCGCAGCTATGGCTGCTAGCTACCTCTACCCCTACTATATATATATATATATTGCGCTCTGATTCACAATGTGACAATATATATATAGATATATATGATGAGTCGGTGAAACTCCGACGAAACAGTTTGTCACAGCCCCTCGTTTGTTGTCCTCTTCTCTCTTTCTGCCTATGGTTTACCGGGCAGTTCTCTTTGTGACGATATATATATATATATATATATATATATATAGATAGATAGATAGATAGATAGATAGATAGATAGATAGATAGATAGAGAGAGAGAGAGGAAAGCGATACAAGATTGGTTGTGCGTTTCAAGGAAGAAGGTGGTGGCCATAGACGCTGAGCTCGGATACGGAGAGAAGTACGAAGGAGAGAGAAGAGGGGAAGAAAGAAGAGACGAAGAAGGAGAGAGAAACCATAATTGAGGAAGAGAAAGAAGGGACGAAGAAGGAGAGAAGAGCCATAGCCGGGGTGAAAGGAGGGAAGTGAAGGTTGGTGAGAGAGAAGGGGTCGGCAGCCATAGCCGAGTTGACCGGTGTTGACCAAGGTGCTGATTGGGGTTGACCAAGGCATTGATCTAGGCGTTGACCAAGGTGTTGACCAGGGTTGACCTAGGCATTGACCGAGGTGTTGACCGACATTGACCAAGGCGTTGACCGGGGTGTTGACCGACATTGACCTGTGTTGACCGTAGCTGTGGACCACAAATTTGACCAAGCTGGAGTTGGTATAGTCTTGCCAAGCCTTCAACCTATCACCTCGCCCTATGGATGTGCACTCACCCCATGGTAATTGCTGAGTCTATCTGTCTCTTCTTTCTGCATCGAGTCTTTTCTGTCCAGGTGATAGGAACTCTGTGTATGAGGTCGTAGAGCTGTGTTGACCAAACCCACACGGGCTGAGTAGGGCTGCTGTACATGTCTGACGAGTGACATGTCTCGGAGGACTAACCCTTCCAAGGACCGGTACTGACTGGCGGGCTGTTCAGTGTGGCATGGTTGGCCCAAAATCCGAGTTGTGGGCTGCACAACCAGCTGTCTAAGTCTTGAGAGGACTTGCTGATCTCGTCGTCCTATTTGCGACGTTAAAGATTTCCTGAGGAGCTATGGGGAATCTCCTTAAATGCCTCCTGATCAGCAATAAAGTCCTGCAGTGACAACCTTAGCAGTAGGTCTAGGCTAGAGACCATAGTTAACAAGAGAGTCAACTGTAAGTCATTGGGTAGGTCTAAGTGGTGAGGAGTGGGACAGTCTCTTGTCGTGCACCTATCACCATGGATGACTACCCGATGTACGACTTGCTCTTGGGGTTCTCCCTCTTGGGAACCGTCTGGCGTTTCCTTTTTTCGTTAGGCTTCTGGAGCACGTTGACGTGTAGAGTGGAGACGGGGGGTGGTACTGGGACCACTCCTTACACGAAGGATCAGGAGGAGGAGGCCGCAAAGATTCTGGCCGAGCAAAAGGCCAAAAAGGAGAAGAGGGAATTGGTGAAACAGGCCAAGAAGTTGGCCTTACAGGTAAATCAGGCCGCAAAGAAGAAACAGTTGGAAGAAGAGATGAGAGGCTGAAAAAGGCAGAGGAAGAAAAGCTAAAGGCGGTAGAAGAAGAAGAAGAGGTGGAGGAAGAGCGCCTCTGGTAAGAAAGGTCAAAAGAGAAAGAGGGGAGTCGAGTGGTACGAAGACAAAGGACCAGTGGATGGAGAAGAAGATGTCGGAATGGGCTGCCAATCTGTCGCTGGGAGAAGATGAAGAAGTGATGTTATATGTCCCTAGGGCAGAACAGAAGGTGGTGATGAAGGAGCTAGATGCAGAAGAAGACCCCCTACGCCGCCAGACCATGGGAGAAGAAAAGAAGTTAGAGTGGAAATTGCTCCTCACAAGGGAGAAGATGCAACGGATGGAGGCGGTGGATAAGATGGCAAAGGAGTTGAAGGTGGTGATTGCAAGGGAAGATGGAGGTTATGGCTAGGAGCATAGAACTCCTGGCAAAGGCCCAACAAGAGCAGTATCAGTTCGTTAGGGCTAGGACATAGCCTTGCAGTCTATACGGTTGGATTTTAGAGAGTTCTCGCGCGAGATGATGATGCAAGTAGGCACAAAAATGAAAGCGAGAATAGAAAACACAACACAAAATGAAGGCGAGAATAGAAAACACAGAGCGCTTCTGCAAGGGGGCAATCGAGGGTGCTAAACTAACAACTCCAAAGGAGGAGGAAGTACGCCCGCGTAGAGATCCAGTCGAAGTGAAGTTCCCTGATTCCTACAGTGGGAAGAAGGGGGAAAACTTTGACAATTGGGAGGCGAACATTAACTCTTATGTTCACCTCCATAAGATCTTGCCGGAGGAGCAAGTCCTTATCGCCTTTCATGCTCTTAAGGACGAAGCAGCAAGCTTCGCCAGATCACTCCCGCGCTGTCAAATGCGAGAATGAGATGGTAGCGTACTCCATGATTACCCCCCTCAACGAGTTTTTAACTGCTTCGTGAGAGATTTGCCGATGCTACTAGATGAATTAGAGCTCCTGACAAACTGCAAACCGTCCACTCTCGTCAGTGGAAGAGTGCCAGGGCACTCAAGGGAGTCATGGATGAGTTGGTTGCCGTCCCTGGCCATGGGGTCACTGAGCCCCAAGTGGTCCAACTGTTTTATTGTGTCATGCCCGAGCCCTTGCGTGGGCATTTCTTTGAGAAGAGCAAGGAGTCTACTATGACCTACGATACCCTGAGCAAGGAAGTAGTGACTTTTGAAGCCCAGTCCATGCTAGCCTTTACCATCTGGCACAAAGATTTGGATAAGGGGCAAAAATGGAAGGGCCGTACCATCTCTGGCCAAGTCCAGGGCCAAGGATCATTTGATCCTTACTTTAGATGAGGATGGTATGGAAGAGGTCCCAAATAGCCAAATAGAGTGGGGCCTAGAGGAGGAGGAGGACAGTGGCAATGGTCAAGGGAGGACTTAAGCTGTTGTCGCGGCTGGAGGGAGGCCGAAAGGAAGAGGAGGCCGGGGCCAAGGGGGCCGGGCCTCTGGTGGTCGGGACAGAGCGATCAGGGGGTTGGCGGCCGAGAAAACCGCCAAGAGGGAGGTAGGGGTCAAGGTCCCCCACAAAACCGCTCTCGTTTCAACCGATCACCTCCTAGGAGGGGTGAATGGCACCCTGGTCTACCGCAAGGCAGACCCTGGGAATCGCTGGGGTTAGAATAGACTTTGTGGCAAAAGAGAATAGATGCGGATCAGTGCATTTTCTGCGGTGATCCGGGGCATATTATCAAATATTGCCCCAAGTACAGAGAAGCCCGGCGAGCTGCTGCAGAGGCAGCAAAAGGCAACCGCCGGTAGGGGTTGCAACAGGCCTTACCCCTAGATCATGTGGAGAAGAGTGCGCGCACCACAGACAAACTCCCAAACCACGTGTGTCTATGGCAAAGGTTGCTGGCCAGTGCCTAGGTAGCTGTCCAGAGACTTCTTGTGTTAAAGTCTCTCTAGGCATTTCCCTCACAGGTCTGGCAGAAGAGCTGAAGGAGAGGATGCCGGCCGGGGCTAAGACGAAGAAAGATGGTAAGGGACAGCTAGTTCTAGTAGATGTAGAGGTCTTTAGAGGCAGGGTAGGGGCCCTCATAGATAGTGGGGCCACCCGCAGTCTTCCTCTTTTTCCTCCTTCCCTTCTTTATCTTCTTCTCCCTCTTTGTCCTCTTCTCAGTCCTCAGTCCTCAGTCCTCAGTCGTCACTCCTCACGCCTCCCCCCCCCCCCCTCTCCTCTAACCCCTGTATTATCTCGTCTTTCTTGCCACTCTTGTCACTCATTGCAGTCCATATTTCACTCTCTTCCCTGTTCTCAGTCCTTCCTGAGCTGTCTTTTGAGTCCTGTTTTCCCTCCTCTCTTCTCTCCTCTCTTCCCTCCTTTCCCTCGCCATTTTCCTCCTGTTTTCGCCCCTCTTCCCCATAGCTCTTCCCCCCCTCCCCCGCTCTCCTGCCGTCCTTTCTCTCTTGTACGTAATTTCCCCTCTCCTGTTTTCCCTTTCCTCCTCGTTCTTTTCCCTCCTCTCTTCTCTCACACCTTTTCATTGTCCCTCTTCTCTTACCGTCTCTGTTATTAAGATGAAAACTTCACACCTGTGCACGAGTTCCATCTTCTGCTGAGTCAAAGGTCTGGGAGCTCTTGTATCATGTTCTTGAGAAGGTGGTTATTTTGCAGCTATTGCACTGTGATCTTGAATGAATTCGATTGTTCGCAGCTATTGTAGCATATTATGATGCAAACCGGGCTATAAGAATAGCATTCTGCATGCTTCATTTGTATTGACTGTTCTCAGTGTTCTGAGTATACATAATTTTGCGTTGTCTTTCTTTTGGTTGATGTGCTTTCATCAGGGACATGCAGGTCCAGTTTACAGTGGCCAATTTTCCAAGGCAACAAACCTCCTGGCATCTGGATCTTTTGATCAGACCGTTCGTGTGTGGAACACGCAGACACAGAGAGAGGTTTGCTGCCTACTCCTTTCCTTTTCACCATCTTCCAAGGGGGTTACCTGGGTTTTAGCCCTCATCAGCATTTGAACTCGTAATCTGTTGATCAACAGCTCAATATATATACAAATCAGCCGTGAGGCTGGGGTCTTTTCATTTACCCCCTGGATCCCTCCTCTTTCTATATTTGGTATTTCAATATTCTCTCCTCTTGTCAATGGCCTCTACAAAATGGGAAAGGGGAATGGTACAGAAAATGACCCATTTTTTCAGATTCTGAGGGGAAAACATCATATTCCTTCTATATTTGGACGCTGCTTATGTTGACGACATGTCAGTGTGATTGGGTCCACTGGTTCCTGGATCAGTCCACTCTAGGTGAAATACTAAAAAACAGATCAGTCCACTCTAGGTGAAATACTAAAAAACAGATAAGTCCACTCTAGGTGAAATACTAAAAAACAGGCTTTACTTTTTCATGCCAATCCACCTAGGTTAGTTGTTAATCGTTCACTTATATAGTGGAAGGTAGGAAGTTTGATCGCTTGGGGTCAAGCTCCTTGAGAGTTTTCATTTGTCTGCATAATACAAGCGCAGTTTCCAGCAGTGCGGTTGTTCTCCTTGATGGTGACCTCGATGGTGTGCGAGTCTCACTGCGTGCAATGAGTTGCGGAGCAATCCATGCTGGGGTGGGGTAAAGCACTCCTTGCAGGCTTCACATGCACGCAATCCATCTTAAGCATCTGCTGTCAGAATGGGAGGTTTGATCCTTGGGTTCGAGCTCTGTGAGAGTTCTCATTTCTCTGAATGAGACAAGAGCAGTTTTCACCAGTTCGGTTGTAATCTGGGAAGGTGGACGCGTCAACGGCGTGCTAGTCTGACCGGGTACACTGCGTCATGGAGAAATCCGTGCTGGGGTGGGGTGAAATACTCCTTACTGGGCTTTGCTTGCATGCCAATCCATCTAGGCTTTTTATTAGGCATCCAGTTTAATAGCGGAAGATGGATGTACATGATTCAGGTGCAGCTTTCACTGGCGGAGTTGTAGTCTTAGTTTGTGGCTGCATTAGCCGTATGCTACTCTGACTATGTGCAGTGAGTTGTGGACCAATCTCTGCACTTTCATAACGGAAGGTTGGACATCTGATTCCATGCGGTCAGTGCCCTCAGAGTTGTCATCTGTCTGCATGAGTCAAGCGCAGTTTTGTTCCGAGATGGTGGCTGCATCAGCAACGTGCTAGTCTGACCGGGCACACTGAGTTGTGGAGCAATCCATGCTAGGGTGAAGTACTCCCTTAATGGCTTCACTTTCATGCCAATCCACATAGGCTATTGGTCAAGTGCCCCCTTTCATGGCGGAAGTGCGGGAATTGTGATTCCTTGCGGTTGAGGTCCATGAGAGTTCTTATCTATCTGCATGATTCAACTGCAGTTTCCACCGTTGGAGTTGTACTCGTAGATGATGGCTGTGTCAACCTGCTAGTGTAACTGGGTACACCAGGTCGTGGCGTAATTGTGACGGGGCTGAGGCAGAGCAGCGAGGCTGGGAGAGAGAGTGAGAGTGAGAGTACCCACACACACTCACTCAACTCGACGCAGACTCGACACGACTCTACGGACGCAGACACAAAGTGGCAAAGTGGCAAAGTGGCAAAGTCGCAATCTTGGATTCCGAACACAATGTCGCAGCAAGTCACACTGAAGCACAAGCACTGAGGCCGAAAACTGAATGCCCAAACTCAGCTTGAGTCCGGTCTTAAGTACCGGACTCAAGTTCAGTCCTGAGGGCAGAAGTGTAATTTGCCTCAGGGCTGAACTGAGAATCGAACGTCTGAGTCTGGGCGCCAGAATGCGGGATGGCGCCAAGTATCGAAATCCGAAAGTGTCAAGGGAGGAATTTGAGATGGGTGCCAACTGCAGAGGGCGCCAACAGTCAGGAACCGGAGATCAGAAACTCAAAAAAAAAAAAAAAGCAGCCTGGCGGGTGGTAACCCGCGGACGAGGGATCGAGCCCTGGCTGAGTCCGTAAAAGTAATCCATGCGTATTCCTTGCGGTCGTGGAGTAATCCATGCTGTATTCCTCGCGGTCGTGGAGTAATCCATGCTGGGGTGGGGTGAAGCACTCCTTAACAGGCTTTGCGTTTATGGCAGCCCACCTGGGCTTCTTGGTAGGTGTCTACTATCATAGAAGAAGGTTGGAAGTTCTCTTCCTCAGGGTCGAGTTCAGTGAGAGTTCCCATCACTTTGTATGAGACAAATGCACTTGACGAGAGTGCGGTTGTACTCCGTGATGTTCACTGCATGAACAATGTGCTAGTCGGACTAGCTACACGTCGGCATGGAGCCATCCATGCTAAGGTGGGGTGAAGTACCTTGGATCGAGCTCCGTGAGGGTTCTCATTTATCTGCACGAGGCAAGCGCGGTTCCAAAAATTCTGTTGCACTCCGGGATGTTGACTGCATTGATGACATAGTAGACTCTGTCTAACAGGCTTCACTTTCATAGCAGACATTCAAAAGTTTGACTCCTTTGGATCGAGCTATCCTTGAGCGTTCTCATTTGTCCGCAAGAGACAAGCAGAGTTTCCACCAGGGCATTTTCTACTCTGGGAAGGTTGGTTAGTCAACGACTTGTGAGTCTGAATGGGTACGCCAGGTTATGGAGCAATCTATGCTGGGGTAGTGTGAAGTACTCCTTAAACCACCGCTACCTTTCACAGGCAAAGTCTAAATCGAAAATATAACCTACGGGGTGGGGTGGTCCTACACCGCATTCTTTGGAGGCCGGGCGTCACCGGACCAAAATGGCTGGCAGTGCCAGCCAAAACAAGAGAAAAAACGGTCACGCTGGCACTTCGGCAAATCTTGGCGCACAGTTCTACTCCACCTTCGCAAAAAGAGGCTCAAAGGTAGTGGTGGCTGAAAGGGTTTCTATTTCGTGCCAATGTGCCTGAAGTTCTGGTGAAGTCTTTGCTTCCATAGCCAAACGTTGTACCTTCGGATCGAGCTCTGTGAGAGTTCTCATCTATCTGCGTGTGGCAAGTTCAGTTTCCACCTGTGCGGTTGTACTCTGGGAAGGTGGCTCATCAACAATGTGCTAGTCTGACCGCGTACACCAGGTCGTGGAGCAATCCATGCTGGGGTGGTGTGAAGCACTCAAACCACCAGTACACTGGTGCCTAGCAGCGCCCGCACTGCTGTTACATGCTGCGCCTGCAACGAGGGCCATTTTCAGGCCGTGTCGTTTCAGCCTGAAAGCCTGAAAACAAGGGCCTACAGGCCCTGTGTCGTTTCAGCCTGAAAGCCTGAAAATAAGGGCCTACAGGCCCTGTGCAAGGAACATGAATATGGACGAAGCACAGAAATCCAGAATGCAAAATCACACTGAAGTCCAAGTAGTCCAAGCCAAAGCAGATAGCACAATGGAACCGAGTAACCATCCAATTGAGAATGATACAGAAGAATCGTGAGTCAATGTCCATGCCCAACAGGGCAGCACCAACAGCATAACCCAAATGTAGCTCTCACTTGTGAATGGCGCCAGGCGCCCTATCTACTCTACAGCCTAGCCTACAACTACAGCAATGAAAGCAACCAGACGACTTGACTACCAGCGAGTGATGATGTCAACACCAATGCCAACCTCCACCTCCACCAGGTACATGTCCTCTTCACCCACACTCTCCCTTGTACCCACACAGCGCCCTTCACCTCCGAAGAACCACCTTCGCCCTCACCTCCCCTGCACCCTCAGGCAGCCCAGCTATGGCCGTCAGCGCCTTGTGTGCAGGCAGCGCCCTACCGCCCAGCGCTAGCCTGCGTCCCTCAGCCTTAGCGCAGCGCAGCATGCATGCAATGCAGCAGCGTGCCGGCCTTGCTCGCAATGGCCATGATCCCTGCCCACTCGCCCTGCTTGCCTATATGCCAGTGCAGCGTGTGGGCGGCCTCCCTTCAGCCTGTGACCGAGGCCCAGAGGCTGAACCCAGCCCGATACAGTTGGGCCCCGGGGCAATGCAGTTGYRYYTCYTTCATCAWSGCCTRCGGCCAGATTCAGATAGTGGGCCGATTTCCCTTTGGCATTTTCGGCCTCTATACCCAGCATGCATTGTCGGCCTCACGTTCGAGTGCCCAGGGCCTAACTAACTCAGAGGCCCTGGGCTTTCAACATTTGCTGAAATCCGAGACTCGGTGTACTCCAACCAACTGGCGTGCTGCAACTGTATGGACCCCACTTCGTGAAATGTTGGCACAGAGGGCTCTTGTTGATTTGCTGGCCCGCCTTCACTTA